CGGCGGCGGCGGTGGTGGAGGTCCTAGCAGTGGTGGGTGGTGGAGGGGGATACATTTTTCACAGAAGCCTTTCGATTGGGCCCGACAACAGGAGGAGTTGGTGGTGGTGGTGGTGGTGGGAGGCTGGCGATAATGGGGCCACTTTAACGGCAGAACGAACGCGAGATGCGAGCGGCGGGGAGAGAGGTGCGGAAGGAAGGGCGGCAGGGAGGAGAGGTTAATTGCGGCGCGCGATGGGGCCAGTGACCTCTGGGGGTCCTCTCACCAAACAAGAAAGGCCCCTTCACAGACGCCCGAGTGCCCGACTGCGTGCACGCACGCATCCCCGCTGAGCGATGATGATGGCTGCCTCCCGGCATTTTCCACGTGGCTTTTTGGTCCCGCCGCCAAATTTTGTTTTTTCTTGAGACATTTTTCGTGAAAAGAAAAAATTAAAAAAGCGTAAAGGAATCTAAAGCGAAACGGGAAGGAGTGATTGCATGGGCCGCACGCGAGATATTATAACGTACAGCTCCTCTTCGTGAATCCCCTGCTAGATGAAGGTTATCTCCCCGCGCGCCGTGCCAGTCTTGCGGGTTGTTTGAACATACTTGATTTCGCTGGTGACGTGGTAAAACATGCACGGTTGGTTCAACAACGTTCCACGTTTACTGGGCAGCGCCGGTTGGTGCAAGGCAGTGTGCCCGTGACCAGTTCAAGACATCGCTCGCCACCGATGTTAACCGTTCCTGGGCTTCGCACTCGGGTCAGCGGGTTCGTAGCGGCGTCTGCGCTAACCGCTGCGCCGCCGCTCTGCCGCGGCCCTTTCAAGCGAGCCTCAGATCGCGTTCGCAGCGGTGCATCATCGACGCTGCGACTCGGCTCTCTGCGGACCGAGCGAGCGAGTGCTCTTGCTGGAAGTGACATCAGGAACGATGATGCAGTTGCAAACAAGGAGATAACAAGTGCGCGTGGTTAATTGCGCCCCCTTTCTTATCGCGCAAAGGCGATAAACTAAGTGCGAAGGCACTGTGGTTTTTGGTCCCTGTAAGCGTGAAGGGCAAACCAGCTGACACTCGGTGACTCATGGCGGAGAGTGACCAGCGATGGACCAGTAAACTCGTCAATGTTGGGGTCAACGTTGGGCCAACGTTGACCCCAACATTGGCTTGACTACCGGAGAGTTCCGCTTATGTGGGCCCAGCATCGTAAGACTGTGGCGCCCGTATATCTCGTTGTCGTTTTTGTTTTTCATTCGTAATAAATAAATAAATAGGGGAAATTTACGTCCCGCAACCGTCAGCAGTGTGCTTACTTTGTAGCACACGATTGGGGGGGGGGTGCATGACAGCCAATGTTTTAAACAAACTTTAAAGAAAGAAACGTCAAACGTAGCACAGACCGAGTAAGTGTGTGTGTGTGATCCGCCCTGTGTTTGCCGTGCATGCTGTTCCTGTGTTTGTCGTGCATGCTGTCCCTGTGTTTGCCGTGCATGCTGTTCCTGTGTTTGCCGTGCATGCTGTCCCTGTGTTTGCCGTGCATGCTGTTCCTGTGTTTGTCGTGCATGCTGTCCCTGTGTTTGTCGTGCATGCTGTTCCTGTGTTTGTCGTGCATGCTATCCCTGTGTTTGTCGTGCATGCTGTTCCTGTGTTTTTGCCTTGCATGCTGTTCCTGTGTTTGCCGTGCATGCTGTCCCTGTGTTTGCCGTGCATGCTGTCCCTGTGTTTGTCGTGCATGCTGTCCCTGTGTTTGTCGTGCATGCTGTTCCTGTGTTTGTCGTGCATGCTATCCCTGTGTTTGTCGTGCATGCTGTTCCTGTGTTTTTGCCTTGCATGCTGTTCCTGTGTTTGTCGTGCATGCTGTCCCTGTGTTTGCCGTGCATGCTGTCCCTGTGTTTGTCGTGCATGCTGATCCATTCGGCGTGCATGCTGTTCCTGTGTTTGTCGTGCATGCTGTTCCTGTGTTTGCCGTGCATGCTGTTCCATTCGGCGTGCATGAGGAGAGAGGCTCTCACTGCTCCATCGCAGGGCTCCGAAACCGCGTGCGGCGGCTCTTTTAAGGGACCGCTCCGTGACGTTGTTCATTAAGGGACCACCACCGTCTCACCACCACCACCACCGTCTCACCACCACCACCACCGTCTCACCACCACCACCACCACCGTCTCACCACCACCACCACAGTGCACTGCGCTGCGGCTCTTTAAATATTGCCGGGGTGGGGGGGGGAGAGTTTCTTCCACCAAATTCTAAAAAAAAGTCTCTTCTTGCTGTTGTTTCGGTCGCCGACCCCCGCTGCCCTATGGGTACTGTACACGTTCTCGCGTCTTGTCTCAAAGAACCCTCCAGCTACCACGGACAAATGACTTTAGAAGAAAGGGGGGGGAGAGGTGGGGGGCTTCATCTTCAGCAGTGGGGGGCAGAAGACGGTGGGGGAGGGGGGGGGTCAGCCCCGCCTAACCTCCCCCCACCGCCACCTCTCCTGGTGGGACCGAGTTTGGGGCGGTCGATCTTGTTCAATTGAAGGAAATGATATATAAATAAACTGTGAGATCCGAGGTGACAGGATGATTATTGCTCGAGCGCCTCACCCTCTCGCTGTGTGTGTGCTCGTTAAGCATCGCGGGATAATTAATGCTCTTGTTGGGGGGGGTGGGGGGCAGTCTCGGAGGAAACTGATGACAATTTAATTCACCTTTTGCAATAATTGCTCCAGGAAAATTCCTCCGCTGCCTGCTGCTGCTAACGCTTATTACTGCTGCTGAAGCTACTGCTGCTGCTGTTGTTGTTCCTGCTGCTGCTGCTGAACCTACTGCTGCAGCTACTGCTGCTGTTGTTGCTACTGCTGAAGCCACTGCTGTTGCTGCTGAAGCTTTTGCTGCTGTTGTTGTTGCTGCTGAACCTACTGCTGTAGCTACTGCTGCTGTTGTTGCTACTGCTATTGCTGCTGAAGCTGCTGCTGCTGTTGTTGTTGCTGCTGAACCTACTGCTGTAGCTACTGCTGCTGCTGTTGTTGCTACTGCTGAAGCCACTGCTGCTGTTGTTGCTGCTACTGCTGCTGCTGAAGCTGCTGCTGCTGTTGATGATGCTACTGCTGCTGTTGATGATGCTGCTGCTGTTGATGATGCTACTGCTGCTGCTGAAGCTGCTGCTGTTGTTGGTGATACTGTTGTTGCTGCTGCTGTTGCTGCTGAAGCTGCTGTTACTGATCCTGCTGCTGTTGTTGTTGCTACTGTCTGTTGTCGCTGCTGAAGCTACTGCCGACTCTACTACTGCTGTTGCTGATGCTGCTGTTACTGTTGCTCGTGCTGCTGAAGCTATTGCTTTGTTGCTGCTGTTGCTGATGCTACTGCTGCTGTTGCTACTACTGTTGCTGATGCTACTACTGCTGTTGCTACTACTGTTGCTGATGCTACTGATGCTGCTGTTGCTACTACTGTTGCTGATACGACTGATGCTGCTGTTGCTACTACTGCTACTATTGCTGCTATTACAGTGAGGGAAAAAGTATTTCATCCCCTGCTGATTTTGTACGTTTGCCCACTGACAAAGAAATGATCAGTCTATAATTTTAATGGTAGGTTCATTTGAACAGTGAGAGACAGAATAACAACAAATTTTTTTAAAAAAAGCATGTCAAAAATGTTATAAATTGAGTTTCATTTTAATGAGGGAAATAAGTATTTGACCCCCTCTCAATCAGAAAGATTTCTGGCTCCCAGGTGTCTTTTATACAGGTAACGAGCTGAGATTAGGAGCACACTCTTAAAGGGAGTGCTCCTAATCACAGCTTGTTACCTGTATAAAAGACACCTGTCCACAGAAGCAATCAATAAATCAGATTCCAAACTCTCCACCATGGCCAAGACCAAAGGGCTCTCCAAGGATGTCAGGGACAAGATTGTAGACCTACACAAGGCTGGAATGGGCTACAAGACCATTGCCAAGCAGCGATTATTCGCAAACGTAAGAAACACAAAAGAACTGTCAATCTCCCTCGGCCTGGGGCTCCATGCAAGATCTCACCTCGCGGAGTTGCAATGATCATGAGAACGGTGAGGAATCAGCCCAGAACTACACGGGAGGACCTTGTCAATGATCTCAAGGCAGCTGGGACCATAGTCACCAAGAAAACAATTGGTAACACACTACGCCATGAAGGACTGAAATCCTGCAGTGCCCGCAAGGTCCCCCTGCTCAAGAAAGCACATATACATGCCTGTCTGAAGTTTGCCAATGGACATCTGAATGATTCAGAGGACAACTGGGTGAAAGTGTTGTGGTCAGATGAGGCCAAAATGGAGCTCTTTGGCATCAACTCAACTCGCCGTGTTTGGAGGAGGAGGAATGCTGCCTAGACCCCAAGAACACCATCCCCACCGTCAAACATGGAGGTGGAAACATTATGCTTTGGGGGTGTTTTTTCTGCTCAGGGGACAAGACAACTTCACCGCATCAAAGGAACGATGGACAAGGGCCATGTACCTTCAAATCTTGGGTGAGAACCTTCCCTCAGCCAGGGCATTGAAAATGGGTCGTGGATGGGTATTCTAGCATGACAATGACCCAAAACACACGGCCAAGGCAACAAAGGAGTGGCTCAAGAAGAAGCACATTAAGGTCCTGGAGTGGCCTAGTCAGTCTCCAGATCTTGATCCCATAGAAAATCTGTGGAGAGAGCTGAAGGTTCGAGTTTCCAAACGTCAGCCTCGAAACCTTAATGACTTGAAGAAGATCTGCAAAGAAGAGTGGGACAAAATCCCTCCTGAGATGTGTGCAAATCTGGTGGCCAACTACAAGAAACGTCTGACCTCTGTGATTGCCAACAAGGGTTTTGCCACCAAATACTAAGTCATGTTTTGCAGAAGGGTCAAATACTTATTTCCCTCATTAAAATGCAAATCAATTTATAACAGTTTTTGACATGCGTTTTTCTGGATTTTTGTTGTTGTTATTGTCTCTCACTGTTCAAATAAACCTACCATCAAAATTATAGACTGATCATTTCTTTGTCAGTGGGCAAACGTACAAAATCAGCAGGGGATCAAATACTTTTTTTCCCTCACTGTATATCCACTGCTGATCTTGCTGCTGTTGCTACTGCTGCAGCACTGTGGGCAGGAGATGGTTAACAAATACATCACCAACGTAACAGCACCAGCCAATCAGTGTCGTCTCCATGCCAACAGGTTGGGATCGGGAGAGGCAAAGGAGGTCAAGCTGCAGCCTGATTGGCCGAACGTGCGTCACATGACCCGAATCAATGGAGTAGGAATTTACCTTAATTGGATACATTTTGTTGGTCGTTATGCAGAGAGAATGTATATTAATAATACTACTACAGTACTGGGATAGCTTACTCAGTATATATATCAAGCTGGCTTCTGGTGGCAAGATAAGTAGCTCGTTATCTGGTCAAGCTGACTTTGGCTCATCGTCATCATCATTGATGTTATAATTTCTCTGGGGTTGTAAAATCAGTATAACATCATCCTGTTTTTTTTAGGGTAGCTGATGTCCTGGGAAATATTGTACGTCTTCCCAGGACATTAATAGTCCTGGTTTTTGTCAGTTGCGTAATAATGATGATGAACCACCCGCAATGTATTGGCGTGTCGTCCTCCCTTTGCCTGGTATTGAGAAATATTTTCCTTCCCATGAAATGTCCTTGGTTTTGTTCTACCTTTGAGGTGGCAACCTTTGCCTACTGGTGAGGCCTTGCCACGGAAAAATATGAGGGAATTAATTGGCGGTTTGCGTAAGGAGAGACACTAGGCCCGGTCATGGAAACGTGGGATTTACACCAAGGCCCAAAGTGGATAAGTCAATGAGGAGAAACTGATGGGGAAAAAAAAAAACACATTTTATAACGTATAGTATTTTTAAAAAGGTCCATTCCTCTCAGACACGAGACAAGACACCTCTCAGCGTGGGTTTCCATATGGATCCTTCATATGGTGACATGATGCCAATCGTAGCACAACTGAGAATACATTTGGGAATAAGACAACGACAAAGACTCAACAAGAAAATCCTTGTTTCTCAGGGGCTGCCTATGCGCATACGTTGCTACTGCGCAAGTTAATTATAGCGTTCAAACATTCCACAATAATTGCAGCCATCCCTTAACTAAAAACAGAAATGCCTGCCCCGGCCGAAACAGATCACAACAACGAGATTTCAACGAAAACACGGAAGCGCCAATCCTCCCAAGCCACCTCACGGAGATGGATATGGGGGGGGGTCATCTCATCCCAGCCGCCCCTAGAATTCGAGCAGAGATCGGCAACGTGACCCCCCCACACACCCACACACACACACGTTGTTTCGGTCGCCGTAACAAAGCACTGGAGGTTGCTACCCCATTACAGCGGTTGTCATAAAAGCAGGCGTCATGTGGGAGAGGAGGGCAGAGGTGGTGGTGGGGGGAGGAGGAGGACGAGAGAGGGACCGGGAGAGTCAGCGGTGATTGTGGGAGCCGAGGAAGCGAGGGTGGGGTGGCGTTCTCTCTCTCTCTCGTCCGTTTGTGGTGGTTGCGTGCGTTCGTGCGTTCGTTCGTTCGTGCTTTTGCCAAAATAAGAAATCGGAAGGTGCAGCCCGGAGCCCGCAAGCAGCCCCGCGGCACACGCTTCGCTCGGAGACGAAATATTCCAACGCCAAAAGCTGGGGTCGTAGCCCTGCGCCCGAGACTGAGCGACGCACCGCCCGACCGTCCGCGGGGAGCCCGCGGTGGCGGTGGGGCTGAGAATCACGTCGCCAGGTTCTTTTTTCTTCCCCGGCTTCTAATGCCGCGGGAGGGAGCGCTGACCCCGACTGTTGATTGAATGGAAATAGCCTTAAGAAGTTAATTCCATTACGGGTGAGAGCGGGAGGAGATTTGTTGGAAGCTTGCGCGAGCGACCTCCGTCCTCTTGACTCGACCACGTCTGTCACCGTTCGTCAGCTGGCATCGTGCCGCTCTTTGAGCGCCGTGGGCTTCGACGCGTTTGTTTGGCGGCTCGCCGATCTTTCGGCGTCCTTGGGAAGGAAGGAAGGAAGGCATGGATCCAGCCACGGGCAAAATTCTTCAACAGGTGACTCTGTCCATCCAGGTTTGAAACGGGGACAGGAATTAAGAGATAAAACTACGAAAGATTGTTTTTTTTTTTTAAACACGTTTGACCTTGTGCTGATAAATGTGTTGATGGACGCCAACTGACTAAATAGAATTGCTTGTACCGTGGTCGGATAGAGCGTGGGGACACGACGCCTCCTCCAAAATCGAAAGGTCAAAGTGTGAAGGTCGTAAGCACCTTTGATATGCGAGTGCCCACGGGCTGTTTCGGTGCGAGTTGTGTGACCAGGTGACGTCTTTGTAGTTTGATGATACGCACAGACCAGACGCCCACGCGCGCGCACGTATCATCATCATCATCATAGTGTGCTCTACTGGGCTGTAAATATTTTTCATCTGTACAACCAACTTGTGGTGGTTTTGGTTTTAAAAGGCAAATTTTTTAACAAAAAATGCATTGGCTTTGTCGACGACGGGCAATGGATGGATACCCTTGGCTGCCGATGTTGATGCGTGCACTTTCGGCTGCACGTTAGCACGGCCCTCGTACACTCAGCGGCGGTGTTTGGCACATTTGGGGGTCCTTAGCCACAATCACTTTCGGTGTCGGGGGGGGGGGGGAGGCGCCCCTCTTGAATGAATAAAATCCGAGCGAGAGACGACAGAAGAGGCAACAGATAAGAGACGTACAGTCGTGAGATGAGAGAGACGTGTACAAAAAAAAACTAGATGTGCAGTGAGATGAGAGAAGAGGTAAGTCATTGAAGACAGATGAGAGAGATGAATGCACTTTAATTTTAATGATACATCGTTGTTTACTACGATTTGAATGTGAGCTGATGTTTGATGCACCGCTCGTTTTTTTTTTTCACAGGCATCTGGAGCGCGCGAGATTTGTGCTCGGTTTAACGTAGTTCGCCTGTAGCCACCACCGCTTGCCACCCGGCGGATCGTGAAATAATTTTATTCGGGAAAGCTGCGGCGTTGAACGCCGTCAAATTTAGGTCCAGATGGACTGACGGGTTCACGAGGATTCGGTCAAAATGTTAAAACTCCACGTTTTCCACCCCACACCCTCCCTCCTACACCTCTCCCCCCACCCCAATTGAAATTAGTTCGGTGAAACGCCAGACTTTTTGAATTGTGCGGAAGCACTTCACGCAACAGTGTGGATTTTGATCATTTCAAAAATAATCGAGCAGTCTTTGCTGTATATGCGTGCAGGCAGTCGTGGAATAATCATCACTTGGGTTATGGGATGTGCACGTTTCAGAGAAGCTCTCTCAACACGTGGCCATTTGGCAGAGCCTACTCCAAGGGAGGGCTCACGTCAGCGTGATGACTCACACGTTGAAGTTACTGTATGTTGTGTTTGTGTGTTGTTGTGTGTGTGTTGTTGTTGTGTTTGTGTGTGTTGTGTGGGGGGGGCGGTAGCGTGGCGAGCGGTTAGCGCTACGAACCCGGCGACCCGGGTTCGATTCCTGCTCACGGCCACCAACACCACCAGTGACGATTATCTGAACCTGTCCTGGGCGTCCCCTAGGTCGACTCAGCCTCAAATGAGTAGCTGATACGATGAGGTAAACATCGCCACTGGGGAGACAAAGGCGGCCGGGCGTATTGTTGGCCACCCACCCCCTTCGTGTGCCGTTGCCGGCCTTCATAGGTGTTGTGTATGATGTGTGTTGTGTATGATGCGTGTTGTGTATGATGCGTGTTGTGTATGATGCGTGTTTAGCATGGTGGATATTGGGTATTGGTGGAGCGGTGGCGTAGTGATTAGCGTACTTTGCATGTGACGAACCCAGTGACCCCCAGTTCGATTCCACGGCCAACATACAAAAAACAACATCCTACCCATCACAGCTACTACATTCAATTCGGGTTTCCTGTCGCAAAGAGTCTGCATTCTGTGTAAGGTGTGTATTATATCTTGTCTGTATTTATGGTGTGTGTGTTGTGTATGGGGTGTGTGTGTGTGTTGTGTATGGGGTGTGTGTTGCGTATGGGGTGTGTGTGTGTTGTGTATGGGGTTTGTGTTGTGTATGGGGTGTGTGTGTTGTGTATGGGGTGTGTGTATATTGTGTATGGAGTGTGTGTATGTGTTGTGTATGGGGTGTGTATGGGGCGTGTGTTGTGTATGGGGTGTGTGTTGTGTATGGGGTGTGTGTGTTGTGTATAGGGTGTGTGTGTTGTGTATGGGGTGTGTGTGTTGTGTATGGGGTGTGTGTGTTGTGTATGGGGTGTGTGTTGTGTATGGTGTGTGTGTTGTGTATGTGGTGTGTGTTGTGTATGGGGTGTGTGTTATGTATGGAGTGTGTGTTGTGTATGGGGTGTGTGTGTTGTGTATGGTGTGTGTGTTGTGTATGGGGTGTGTGTTGTGTATGGGGTGTGTGTGTTGTGTATGGGGTGTGTGTTGTGTATGTGGTGTGTGTGTTGTGTATGGGGTGTGTGTTGTGTATGGGGTGTGTGTTGTGTATGTGGTGTGTGTGTTGTGTATGGGGTGTGTGTTTTGTATGGGGTGTGTGTTATGTATGGGGTGTGTGTTTTGTATGGGGTGTGTGTTATGTATGGGGTGTGTGTTGTGTATAGGGGGGGGGTGTGTTGTGTATGGGGTGTGTGTTGTGTATGGGTGTGTGTGTTGTGTATGGGGTGTGTGTTGTGTATGGGGTGTGTGTAGTGTATGGGGTGTGTGTTATGTATGTGGTGTGTGTTGTGTATGTGGTGTGTGTTGTGTATGGGGTGTGTGTTGTGTATGGGTGTGTGTGTTGTGTATGGGGTGTGTGTGTTGTGTATGGGGTGTGTGTAGTGTATGGGGTGTGTGTTATGTATGTGGTGTGTGTATGTCAGTGTGTGTAGTGGGGAGCGGTAGTGTAGCGGTTAGCGCGCTGCGCTACGAATCCGGCGACCCGAGTTCGATTCTCGTTCACGGCCAACACCAGTGACGATTATCTGAACCGGTCCCGGGCCTCCCCTAGGTCGACACAGCCTCAAATGAGTACCTGGTGCGGTGTGTAAACATTGCCACTAGGGAGACAAAGGCGGTCGGGCGTGGTGCTGGCCGTGCCGGCCTTCATAGGTGCTCGCTAACAGCACTTGCCCCTACAGACTGTTGAGGCTATACGGGGGTTCTTTATCTTATGGGGTGTGTGTCGCTTTTGAGGTGTCTGCATTTCCTCTACAGTATGCGAGGTATGTTGTGTGTATGTTTCATGGTGTGTACAGTATATTGTGTATCTTTCATATGCAGTGTTAGCTTGGGTGCTGTAAAGATATCCTGTGTTCATAAGTATGCTGTAGTGTGTGTAGTGTGTGTAGTGTATGTACCGTGTCTATGTGTGTGTACCGTGTGTGTACCGTGTGTGTATTTAGTGTGTGTTCCGTGTGTATGGTGTGTATGTAGGTAGTGTGTGTGTACTGTGTGTATGTAGTGTGTACTGTGTGTATGTAGTGTGTACTGTGTGTATCTAGTGTATGTAGTGTGTGTGTACTGTGTGTATGTAGTGTGTACTGTGTGTATGTAGTGTATGTAGTGTATGTAGTGTGTACTGTGTATGTAGTGTATGTAGTGTGTATGTAGTGTGTGTGTACTGTGTGTATGTAGTGTGTACTGTGTGTATGTAGTGTGCACTGTGTGTATGACTGCGCTGTACATAGTTGCTTGTGGTTGGCGAGTGTACGTGTGTACAATAGTGGTGCCTGCTTTGTACGTAGTGTATACAGTGTAAGAGCTGCGTTTGCTGTGTATGTAGCGGATGCTGCGTGTAAATGCAGTGTACACTGTATCATGTATTGCAATGTGCATGCTGTACACCCCGAGCGTACCGTACACTACATGTCAGTGTATAGGGTGTTGTAGATAGTGCAGCACGCATGGTTATGAGCATGTATGTTGCACACGTGTTTCAGTGTCGGGAATCTTGCTGTGAATCTTGCAAACAACATCAGAGGGCAGGTGGACACAGCTTTCCAGGAAGATGAGGAGGGGTGGGTGGTTAGTGGGGGGGGGGGGGGCCCGACCCGAGATGGAGGCTGTCCCAAAATTTCAAACGAAATTTTATTTTCGTGGGGCCTCAAAGAAAGGTGTTGCTGTGGTGGTGCTGTGGCGGTGGTGGTGTGGTGGTGCTGTGGTGCCCCAGAATCCCACCACGACACAGCCCCCCACCCCTACCAGAGCTCTCCCATCATCAGTGAGTGACGCAGCGGTGCAGATCTGGCTCATTACACGCGAATTTACGATCACTCCCTCCCACATCCACCCCCACCTCCCCCCCCCCAAAAAAAATCAATTTGATCGGATTATAATGATAGATGCTTTTCGCTCAAGTTCATCTCTCGGGATATAAGAGAGAGAGAGAGACGGGGAGAGAAGAAGCATTGCCAAGCTCATGCAACGGGACAAACCCGACCACCAACATCCCTTGGACACACATCAAGGGCACTGTTTGGCATGAGCCCAGGCGCAGTTGCACCAGCCTGCACACTCCGCAGCTACGCGATCGCTGGGCCCACCTATGTTAGGCGACTCTGGGTCCTACGCTATTGCATTAACAGGCAGTCATCGACTTACGAACGCCCGTACTTACGAACGCCCGTACTTAACGAAGCCGCTTCCATGAAATTTTATTTTTTTAAATTACATCGACTTTAAAAAGCGAACTCGCACTTGAAAACGGAACCACGGAACTATTTTGTTCGGAATGAGCGATCCCTCCGTGAGATGTAACGAGTTTAACGATGCTCCCCTTGTTGAACCGTAACACGTTTCACAACACTGACCGTATTATATTATTGGTTCTTTATATATATATTAATTATTTTATTGTTTCCCTTCTACGCGACTTTACCGAAAGAACCAAGAATATGAATCCCTGCAGTCACGAAAGCTTTAAATCAAAACCCTGACCGTGTTATGGCGTTCCGACTTATGGACCGTTCCACTTACGAACGGTTCTCAGGAACGAATTAGGTTCGTAAGCCGATAAGTGCCCGTACGTGGGTTCTTTGCAAGTCTATGGT